GGGGTTGGGGATTTAGCTCAGTGGTAGAGCACTTGCCTAGCAAGCACAAAGCCCTGGGTTCGGTCCTCAGCTCTGGGGAAAAAAAAAAAAGAGCTACTATCTAAAATGTAAGGAACTGAAAAACTAGATATAAAGAAAACAAATTACTCATTTAAAAAATGGGGTATAAGTTGGGCATGGTGGTGTACACATTTAATCCCCGCACTTGGGAGGCAGAGGAGGGTGGATTTCTTAGTTCAAGAAATAAGACAGAGCTACATAGTGAGATTCTGTCAAGAAAGAGAAGGAGGAGAGGAAGAAGAAGAAGGGTATTATGCAAAGAAATTGTGTACAACCTTCAGTGGTTGTGAATGTCTTAGCATCACACAGAAAATCCCCCCCCCCCCCCCCAGTTTTTAGAGACAAGGTTTCTCCATGTAACAGCCTTGGCTGTCCTGGAACTCACTCTGTAGACCAGGCTGACCTCAAACTCACAGAGATCCACCTACTTCTGCCTCTCAGAGTACTGGGATTAAAGGCATGTACCACCACTTCCTGGCCACGCAGAAAATTCTTAATGGCTTCCGATCAACAGACAAGGTCCTCAGCGTAAGTGACAGGGGTGGCCTTCTCCTGGAGGAAGACTCTTGGGCACGTTTCCTAGGGTTTGACATCTTTTGCATTATTCTGTCAGAAGCCACCCTCTTCTTCTCCCCAAACACAAGATACTACCAACAAATACAAGAGTGAGTATAGCTGACCCTCAGAAGGTACTTTTTAAAAATGAATAATTATGGCCTATTTTAAGGTCTTACTCCCAAATCATGCCATTGTAGTGTAGGTGTGTGAACCCAGATAGCAGAATAGCCTGTGGTTTGGGGACTTACCCAAACTATATCTGAGCCTGGTGACATCAGCTGTGGTGTCACTTTCAAGTAACAGGAAGGTAGGGGCCACCCCCATTTTACATATTAGGAAACAAATAGGTACCCTATTCATTGTAAAATAAGTTTTGAAAAATAAAAAAAGAGAGAGAGAGAGAGAGACAAAAAACCCACAAGTTTCTAATCTTGGCAACGAGGTGTGGTTGTTGGAATTTCTTGTTGTTGAGAATGTAGTCTGGGATGGTTTCTAACTAAAAGATCATCCTGCTTCAGGCTCCTTACTGTTGGAATTAGAGTTTCGTGTGTGGTGTGTGTGTGTGTGTGTGTGTGTGTGTGTGTGTGTGTGTGTGTGTGTTGTTGTTGTTGTTGAGAATAGAACCCAGGACCTTTCAAATACTAGACAAGTGCTTTATCAGCGAGCTATATCCTTAGCCTGTGGTGTTTTGATATAAGGGCCTCACTAAGCAGC